GAAAAAGTAATTTCATGAAAATTACAGAAATTACAATGCCCAATGACCAGATAAACATGAGAGAAGATGCACTTTGGAATATTTCAGAGGTTGTTACTGTACTGAATAATGGAAGCTGTCCATGTCAAGCCCTGAGATTTTATATGATACAGTTCCCATAGACATTTGTCTAGATAATCTGACTTTTATAAAGCTGAGAAGAAAAGTTCTTTGGAGAATGCGGAAAGTTGAGTCAAACTCACTCTTAATTAACACTAATGCTTTGAGTACCAAGAGGCAGACTTGCCCCCTTACTTGTCAGATATCTAATTCACTGAAAATTAGTTAAAAATCGAGGCAAAAGACACTCTTTATGCCTTGAGTTTAAGTCTGTGCCTCAGACTGAAAAAAAATAATCATAATTAATCTGAAACCACAGTTTCCATGTAGTAGCCAGAATTAGTCATAAATCAGACCAGCTTCATGAACCTTAACCGATGAATAACTGTGACCAAGCTTTGAATATTAAGCCTTGAATCAAGAAAATGTCATATGGCCTTCAAGCCAGGGATATTTCATATAGATGTACTATTATCATTTGCTTTTAGTTTTACTAAACCAGGATTGATTCTATCATGCAGTATTCTTCCTTCAGTATAATTTATTTTCTAGAAATAAACCTAGACACATATATGTTTATATTTAATATAAACTACTGTAATTCGAGATTTCATGTCAAGTGAAGCCTCAGAGAAAAGTCAGTGAACACAATCCTAGCTCTGATGAATTAACTAGCAGAATTTCTTTGATTTTTGTGTGATTGAGATTTCATCTCAAGTCTTAGGCAGAGATACACCAAGACCAAACATGTAGATGTGGCAGCACTGAAACTTGATTCACAATAAAAAAAAAAAAAAAAAAAAAATTACTTGAAATATTTTTAATGAATCTGTGTCCATATAATTTCAGATGTTGCAGTAGTGGAACTATGCATCCATCTTTTCATACCAATAAGGTATCAGCAAAGATATTAACCATTTTGTAGAAACATAAAGTTGTACTTCAATAAATAACAATAAGAAAACCAGGCTTTGAAGTTTTGCATACTTTGATAGTTATGTAGTTCTACCACTCTTGTTGAGAAAATACATGAATAAAATTGCCCAGGCAATAGAGTTCTGTAATAAGGAACCTGGAGAATTTCCAAAAATAGAAGAAATGAGTGAAAAGCACAGAAAATAGGTCCACTCTCTCCCTCTCTAGCCATGGTGATTTTTCTTTGGATTGTAGTAGCTGGCCATTTTTAACTTGGAAATGTAGCATAGCAGATAGACTGGACTTTTACCAGGCTACTCATGACTGTTTTTCTCCTTCATTTTTAATTATACTACATCTTTTTCCCAAACTCTGTAACAGCAGACACCTCATACACCATCTCATTAACACCTTTGCTTCCTTCAGAGTTTAATGTTAGTAACCTGGAAGCAATCATCTGTGTGTGGACAACTGCTGAAATGGAAGACAAGAAAACCTGTATAAAAATTGTGAAGGACCTGCAAAGGAAGAGAGTTTATGCTGAAAAGAGACCAATAAATGGAATCTGCTGGGTTTGTTAAGACTCAGTTCTTATTTCTGTATCCATTAATAAAGTCATTAATAATCTTAGAAAAAAGAAAATTAGTAATTTGCTTTTGACTTGCAGCTTGTCAATAATAATAACACACAGAACACTGGAGCCAAGAAACGGCACTGTATTATAGGATAACAACATTCAAGATTATGCACCAGGGCCTGATAAAAACTTTTGGTATAATCCAGTAATTTGTGAGTCAAAAGTTGTATGGCATGAGAAGGCTTTGTTGGTATTGAGCACAAGAAAAACTGAAACCTATCTATATAGGAAAGTCAAAAAAGAAAGTGAGGCAAAGTCCACATTTATCAGTGTCTAAATGGGTGTGAAGAGACCATTGTGGGCATTACTTGTAAGAGTTTACTGGAATGCCATGTATAAAACTTTGTCCATCTGCCAGTTTAAAAACTGATAGTTCAAACTGTGATAGGTCATAGACATCATCAGGGAAGTCCAGAACTTGATTTATGGAAAGAGGTTGAAAGAGGATCTGTTTCAGTTGAAGGAAATGTGAGTGTTGTACATAAATATATCACTAGGTGAACAGAAGAGAATCATACTTAGGATTCTGGGGAGAGAAACAAATGGGACAATTTCTAATCAGAGGAGCCAGTGCATGTTCAGGCACTGCCTTCACTAGGAAGAGTGAAATGAACTGACTTTAAAATGAAGCACTGGATTACAGAAGATGTTAGGTAATGTCGACTAAAAAGCAGAGTTTTGGATTGGTGATTCAGAGGTTTTAATAAAGTTCCAGTTTTTTACTTTTTCAGATGCCTACATCAGGTTTTGCAGGAAACATTTGATTCTGATAAAATACATTAAAAAAAAAATAGGTAGAACAATTCAATCTACTGTTCTGTAATTATCTTGGAACACCAGTCCCAAGTGCAATGAAGTAATATGGTGAATACAGTCTGTGTTCCCTATTTCTGCTTAATTTTAAATATTCAAAACCAGCTTTATTTGTGTTCTTTTCCTACAGTAAGAATGGCTTCTAATATACACAGAAACCTTCTGAATTCACATATGAAAATGGGAAAATCTGGAAAAAGAGGACAATTAAGATTTTTCTCTACAGGAAAGAAGGTAAGTAAGTATTTTTTGAAAGAAAATTCAGCTGCAATTCTTATGTGCTATTGTGCTGTGTAGTCTAAATGCACCATTCAAGTATTTGAACCTAGACATTTTTAGTCCCTCTATAAGTGCAAACCACAACACAGCCTTAACTGTGGAGTGAATTACTCTTGTGTATGAGTAACACAAATCTACAGCATATCACAAAAGGAAAGTTAATGTGTCATGTGAATTAATTTTTCGGGCAAAACTGCTCTACTTTTTTAATTTATTTTCTTCTTTGTCCTTACACAGCTTTAAACCCCTTTGTCTGTGATCACCTGTCTTAGGGCTTGTGACAATATGGGGATCTCTCTATGTAAAGCTTATGAACTCAGTCTGGTACTTGGAAATCTCTATATATAGCTGTGTCAGCTTGAAGATTCTTTGGTAATCTAAAATCTACAAGAGGTGATTTTTTGCTCCTGGAACATGATCCATAAGGAATACCACAATAATATCCTATTCAAATACATTCCCTCAGAGTATGACAATAGGTAGGCAAACCTGGTTTTATAGATGAATAAGTAGGTGGTAAATCGTTTGTTCTACACAAATTTTATCGCCCAGCTGGGGATGATGAGTCCTCTTACCTAAGAAGGTAAGGTGGTGTCTTGCTCAGTGTTGTAAAGTACACCTTGTATTAAATATTGGAGGGGGATGGTGAACTCAGAGGACTTCTGCCTATATTTGGAGTGGAAAATGGCAGAGAAATGGAAAGGGTTTCCTGCACTTAACAGCTGTTCTGAAACACTTAAAGTCTTTTGCCCCTTCTGTGAAGAAACTCAAAGTCCAGCGTACCACTAGCTTAAAAAATGGTATTTGAAGAAATCAGCGCTGCCCTCAGAAGAGAGTACAGCAAAGCTCTGTGCAGGAGGGCTGGGGAAGGAGCCGGTGTCGCTGTCTCAGCGGACCAAGGCAAGCTCCCATGGACACCAATGATGTGTTCCATGGAAAAACCTGGCTCCAGCAACTGGCGAGCGGCCGAGCAGGCGTTTTCACCGAGGCTGAGGAGGGGTTTTGGACACATTTGTGCAAGTGAGCTTAGTCCTGCTAACCGCGATCACGACCCCACGGATGCCCGGGATGCCTGTACTGCCCGGCTGGCTCTTCCGTGCCGGCAGCTCGGGGCTCCGGGCCGCTGGCAGCCAGGAGACACGGCGGGGCTGCAGCTGCCGCCCGCAGCCCGTTTCCCGTGGAGCCGAGGATGCTCCAGCGTCCAGCTGAGCGGTGCCTGCTGCCCGCTTCGTGACGCGGAGCCTTCCCAACTTCGCTCGGTTACCTCGCTCTTCCCCGGCCGGCTCCCAGCGCTCTCCCGCCGGCCGGGACCTGTCCAGGGAGACGCCGCCCTCCCTCACACCGGGCAGCGCACGGGCACCCGCGGGAAGCCGAGAGCTGCCGCGGCATCCACCCCTCCCTCCCTCCGTCCCTCCCTCCCTGCATCCCTCCCTCCGCGCTGGCGGAGCCCTGTGCCGGAGGCGAACTCCGGGAGAAGGGACCGTCCCGTGCGCCCTGCCTCTCCGCAGCCCCCGCTCCTGCCTCCTCCCCTGGTCACTGGGACTGATGAATTAATCATGATGTGGCTGCTGTTAATGCATTTATGTGGAGCGGGCTGTGCCAGTGGCTGGCGGCGCGGCGGGTGAGGGAGCGCGGGGAGCGCCGGCCCCTCCGCTCCGCTCCGCTGGGCGCCGGGCGAGCCGCGGCCGCGGCGCTCTCCATGGCTCCGGAGGAGGTAATGGGAGTCGGGACGCGCTCCCCGTTCCCCCGGCAGCCAGGGAAGGGGCAGGGCAGGCGGGGCGCGGAGGAGGCGCTGACAGGGCAGCTCCAACTTGCCGGCAGGGGGGACGGGAAGGCTCGGCTTGCCGCGGGAGGTGCGCGGGATGTGTTCGCTCCGCGTCCCCGTGGTTCCCCCGAATCCTGCCAGCGGTTTAAAAATCGCTCTCTTGGCATAAGTGCGCGGGAGCCAGCTCACTTTATCGCCGCTGACGCTGTCAAAATCGCTGTGGCTCCAGCAGTAACAACAGCGAGCCCCCTCCCTGCCTCCCTCCTCCTTCCCTCCCTCCGCCGGGTCGCCCGCTCCTCGTGAGAAACCAAACGCTGATGTTCCATTAGCTTCATCTTCCCCGCTTACGCCAAAGTGAGGAAGACTTGCTAATTAATTTACATACGAGGGAATGATGTCTGAAGGAAGGAAAATATACCCCGTTGCACCTGCTCCGCCGAGACTTGTCATCTGAATCTGGAGGAGAGCTATAAATCATGTAAAGTGTTCGCGGTGGAGTCGGCTTCTTCTGAGAGCTGTTAGGATTATGTATCCAAATGCTGAATTTATATTTCCCACTAGGAAAAGACTGAAACTCAGGTCAGATATAAACTACATCATTTAATTTAAAACAAAAACTGTAGTTATTTGTTGTTGTTCTAGAGGGGATTTTTCTTCTCTCCTGATTAAATAGAAAGTACTGTTAGAGCATGTAGTAATGATTTACACATTACAGCCTGAAATCTCTTGCAGAGTTGGAGGTGGTGGAGTGCAAGGACAGTGCTTTATAATCGTATATGTCCTCTTATTTTTGTCACACATGAAAGGCTGAGAATAACCAGGCTGTTTTACCTTCTGTTTTTAGTGTGTACAAACTCGTATTTTCTGTGATACAGGATGGGGAAGACTTGGACCAGGGATAGCATAACTTCCATTGAAAATGTTGACTTTCTCAACTGCAGCAACTAAAATCCGTGTGATGTCTGCTTTGATTATTTCCAACCTTTGAAAAAAAAGCTTTAAAAAATATCATAAGCTACTTCCAAGAATTTCACTTACTTATTTCCTCTAAGGTAATATTGTAATAGTTCTTGACACTTGCCTGCTAAATGAACTGAACTGGAGAGACCTACAGTTCAGTAAGATGTTTGTGTTATTTGTGTGCCAGGTATTTCACCATAAAATACAAAATGACAGCTTTTGTCTGATGAGATAATGGCTTCATATTGTAGACATTATTCATACTTCAGTTTTGTGAATTTTCATGTATTTCACTAGGTTTGTTGCTGATAAAAGTAGACTGAGGTTTTGTAATTTCAAATGGAACTAATTTTGATTAAGGTTAATTGCTTTGGCAGCCTAGCGTATTTTTGACACAACTGTAAATGACAAATATTATTCCTTTGTTCCACTTATGTAAAAATATTGCTTTTTGATTAAAAAAGATGTTATGTTTTATAGATGGATCCTGTACATTGCATCAGAATGAGGGAATTAAGGAGTTTGTGTGCTTTGATAGCACGTGTGATTTGCAAGTTTCCTAAGTTGTGAGCTTATTTTAAAAGTGTGTGTATGTGTGTGGCAAAAGACTGCTATGCTAGTACAAGAAACTAATAATAACACAGAAATCTGTGAGGTAAGCAAGAACATATGAGCCAGGCTAACCACTCAATATGCTTACTTTGAAAGCAAGCCTGGATGCAGTAGTTTTCATATCACTGTTCTATAGCAACAAAATAAGGGAGACAAAAATAAGCACGAGCCAGAAATAAAAAGACAAAAACTTAAAATGAGACTAGTCAGGTGGGGAAAAACATTTGGAAATCAAGTCTTTCTGTCAAATCCAAGACTGCAGGTCATTGCAAAACGAAATCAAAGTCACATATACAGCATTTTTACGGCATTTAAGGTGGAAGCCTTGGTCTAGACTATAACCAACCAATTAAAAGAGGTTCAGTTGTTAGAAATTTTGTTTGACACCAGATGGTAGAGGTCAAATGATAGTCAATAAAAGTGGAGTTCATCTTTGAACTTGGAACAGGAGAATAATTTGTGTTCTTTTCCAAATCTTCTGTCTCTAACTGGAAACTCTGTCATGGACACCAGTCTACAAAGTGACCAAAATTTATTAATTAATGAACATTTATTGTTCTGAGATACCATTACAATAGAAATACTTTTTTTTTTCTGTGTAACTGGCATTCTTCTGGCCAGTGCTTTGGCCTTGTAAGTCATAAATGAAATATGGGAGTTCTGATTTGGGGTTTGAACAATGTAAGTCACTGTGTAAATTTCAGTCTAGAGTACATTTTTGTTTCACTGTCAAGTGTTGGATTGACTTATATTGGAAAAACATATACTTCTTTTCTGAAACAAAATGAAAAAAGTCATTTGTCAGCCAGAGGGAGGTGGGGAAATGTGTTCACACTCACCAGACTTTATTGGCCTCACAATAGCGGCCACCATAGTGTTTGATACAAGGGATTGTGGGGTCGGTGAATGACAGACCTGCCTACCTTTTCCACATTTGCAGCAAGCTGAACATGGTTTTTGGGTCAAGAAACCACAGAGTTGCTTGTTTATTGATGGACACAGCTTTGAAAGGAGCTGAATGAAGAAGAGCTGTTGTCTGCAATGTTGCTCAATGTTCACTTACTGCTATACAAATAACTATGTGACAACTGGCCAGTAGCTGTAGTCATGTGAATATGCCCTCTCTATTTTCTGTAGCTGTTTTTGCTTTACCCACTGCCATGGAAAACTTCTGAATGGGTTGTTCAATGATTAACACAGAAGTACTGGGTTATGAAGGGTGGAGGATATTTGTGTGTGTTAACAGACAGGTTAAATTACATGATTCTGAACAGTGACAGTGTTTGAGGTGTCCTCGCTTTGAGTGCAATCAAATTCCCTCTTGACTGTTTATATAGTAAGCAGGAATCCATTAAACTGCCAAGGAGGACAAATATTTAATGAAGACCCAAAGAGGCAATATAATTTCTGTATGTTTGTAGTGCACTGCTCTGTTTAGCTGCTGATTAAATCTGCTGATTTCAAGATCTTCTAGTCATCTGCTTTGATGCAATATTCTATAAAACCATTAAAACTAGAGAGGTAGGAGTTGAAGTCTTAAGATTGTTTTCTCTTTTGGACAAAAAATTGTGTGAAGTCCTCTCATAGCCCTTGTTGAACTTTAGTGGGAAGAGTGTGAGCAAGAAGTCTGGGAAGAAGGGGAGCAGAACAGGGAGTAATTGATCACTGTAGTAATTCAGGGCTGAAGAAAAGATCTTTCTGAGTTAGATAACAATCTTATCTAATTTCAGTCATAAACTCATCACAGTCTAAGTACATTGCCCTGTTGCTCTTTGTGCAAAGATGTTTCAAAACCTTTCTCCTAATGCTCAGAGCTTTCTTTGAACTTTCAGCCTAAATATATTCTTTGATTCCTAATTTTTAATTTTTAATCTCTCAATATTGTTATTTAAAACCAATTCCTTCCTCAGTGTGTAGCCCTCAATAAATTATAAACATCGATCATGTGTCTTCCTTAGCTTTTATGTGCTAGGATCAAACAAGCAGAGCAAGCACCTTTTAGTCTGTCTGGCAAAACAGAATAAATAGAAAGATACAGAGAAAAGTAACTTGATTCTCCTGAATTCTGAACCTTGTACCTGAAGTGTTTGCTCAAAGTCTTGAATAAGAGTACTGATACTCCACCCAGCCTTTTGAAAACACTTTGTCAGACAGTGGTGAGTATCAAGTTTGTTTTACAGATAAGCCAGATTGTTTTAATCTGTTAATAGTAAACATGGGTGTGTGATTTATCTTTTTGTGTTGCTCTCAAATGATAAGAGCCCATCACAGAAATAATCACAGAGATTCTGATATTCATAATCACGTGGCTTTGAAGAATTGCTAAAGGTTTTGCCATTTCTAATATGCCTGTGAAAATGCTCCAATTTCTTCTGTAAGTTAGCAAGAACCTCCCCTATATCAAGAGGGCTTCCTATAATCACTTTTTATCAAAAAACCTCTGCTTTTCACCACATTTACAGACATGTAATAAGATGAGTGGAAGAATGATTTTAAAGAAGTCCATTCAATATGTTACCACTAGTCACCTTTGTAGTAATTTTGTTTTTGTGTTATGCTTTTATTTCCTAGTCAGTAAATAATTGCTGGGTGATACCATATCAAATTCTTTACTTAAATCTGGAGAGAGTGGATTCTGAATTTCCTTTCCCATAATATTTTCTTTTAAAAGGATTGGCTTCTCTCTCCCACCAAGCATTTATAAATACTGATTAAGATCCCTCCTGAGCCTTCTCCAAGGTAAAGTAATTCAGCTCTTCCTGCCTTTCTTCATATGACAGGTGCTCCAAGACCCACATCTTCTCTGTGTCCTGGATGTACATAGTGGATGTACTCCAGTATGTCCCTGTCCCTTCTGTACTGGGGAGCCCAGAACAGGAGGCAATATTCCAGATGTGACCTCACTGGTGCTGAGGGGAAGGACCATCTCTCTCAGCCTGCTGGCACTGTTTTTCCTAGCACAGAAAGTGTTGATTTTCATTGCTGCATGGGCACTTCGCTGACTCATGTTCATCTTCTTGCCCACCAGGACCTTCCCCATCCTTTAATGCCTGGTTCTTCCCCTGTGGTTGGTCCCAAGACTTTTACCAGTGCACAGAGTTATTTCTCCCCAGGTGAAGAACGTGTATTTCCTTTTGCTGAACTCTATTTCTCCAGCCTGTTGAGGACCCACTTAATGGGAGCAACTCTGCTCCTTATTTCATATGCTCTGCCAACTCACTGAGAGTGCCCTCAGTCCTGTTATTCTGTTCTTTAAGGAAAATGGCCCCAATATCAACAGGGGTGCACAATTAGTAACATTCCCAGCTGAATTTTGTGGCACTGATCACAATCCTCCGAGCCCAGCAATTCCACTACTTTCCATTTCGCCTCACTTTCATGCTTCATTAATAATATTGTAATTGTTAGTAATAACAGTAACATCAGTAACAATTTTACTACTGCTGTGTGACCAGAAAAATTAACAGGTAAAAATATGTCTTCACCATCTTTCCTTGCTCTGGTTTTACAGCCCTGGCACGTGTGTGTACACACATGCACCAACTGACAGTTGCCTTTTTGTGTTTGAGTGTGTGACTGTGAATTACTCATGCCGTATGTTTGATGCACGGAAGATACTCTTCTACATGTCGTACAGGCACTGCATTTTTTTTTTTTTTTTGCATTAAATTTATTGCTCTGCCTCATTTTTGCAGGGCAAATGAACCTCTGGGCTTGTTATAGTTATGGGGAATCTGAAATATGTAATCTTGAAATAGATTGCAAAATACAGGTGAATTAATTGCTCTGTAGATGAAGTTTTTGAAGCCAAATGGCCTTTCATTCACATGAAGCAATTGTGTACCTTGTGTTGAAAAATGCAAGGGCTTCTTTTCTGCTTCCTTCAAATAGCAAAAAAAATTTTTGAGAAAAATTGCTTCTGTATTCCATATTTTCTCTTGCTAGTCACACTCACCTGCTTTGCCAGCAGCAGTGAGAAAAGATACTGAACTACCCTCATTGCAAGC